CGTCCCGACATGATGGCAAAGGTTGCATTTTTACAGAAACGAATATGTGACGCTAAGGTAAAGGACTTGATGGAAGGAAACAAAGTCTTGAAAGAAGCAAAAGAAACAGCAAACACAGCCGTCATTGTTCAACCCATACCCATGGAAGAGCTGACATTTGCCAGTTTTGGGGACGCAAGCTTTGCCTCAGAGACACAGCTGAAGGCGCAGCAAGGTGTATTCATTGTTGCTTGTACAAAAGATTTAGGAGAAAATCGAATATCGGATATATCACCCCTAGCATGGCATTCGAAGCAGATAAGCCGAGTTGTTCGATCGACGTTAAGTGCTGAAGCGTACGCTATGTCTTCTGCGTTGGACAAGCTCACTTGGCTAAGATGCGTGTGGGCGATAATCAAAGATGGAAGATTTCGTTGGCAGAAACCCGAAGAGTCACTCAAGGCTGAACCAAAAGCCTTATTGATCACGGATTGCAAAAGCTTATATATGACCTAATTAGCAAGATGGCAACCCCAAACTGCCAAGAGTGGAGATCAACGATAGAGGTGATGTTGATAAAGCAGCAATCTTCAGAACCAACAGAGTGTAGATGGATTTCAACAGCAACTATGTTGGCCGATTGTTTTAACGAAGCCTATGGATTCAGCATTCCTCCGGAAAGTACTCACACTTGGAAAGTTTCGAATTTTTGATGACAGCAGCTCATTGAAGAGCAATCCAAATCGAAAATTCAGTACTCGATGGGTGGAATCATTTCAAGAGACTCATTCGAAAAAAATTAGATGAGTGTGAATCCAATGAAGGGTCAACCAAGCCAACCGGAGCCTTCGAATGAGTTCGGCCGACCCTACGGGATTTGGCTCAAGGTGGGACACAGGATCTCAGGAGTCAGGAGTGGTGGAACGGGCGGCGGACCGTCCGGACTGGGTGGGGGACCACCGTAGGATTTTCCATAGAGGTAGGCCTTTAGGTTGGTAGGAGATTATTTGAGGGCGAGGAAGCCACCAGTGCAGCTGGAAACTTCCAGCTACACACTATCACATGCAACAGCCATTGCGCTCAAGAATCTTGGCTTGAGATTGGGCCGTTGATGTCACCTTGGCCTTACCTGGTCGAGATCGCCAGGGATCCGCGGTGGCTGTGGCCGGTGACCTCCGACTGTTCCGGCCCAGGTTTTTCTGTACTGGTTCCGCTTTACCTTGGCGGGTGTTGCTGTGGCGCTTGTGTGGCGCTCTTAGCCGCTTCGGCGGCTTACCAGGGCAAGCCCACAGCTCTCCATGGTAGACGTGTTGAAGTTCTCCTACGCGGACGTCATTGCCCGTGCGAATCGGACGAGTGTGGAGGCGGCTGCAGATCAGTGGATTCACGAAGCAATGGACGAAGACACGGCTGCCGACTATGACTATGTGACTGTCTTCGAGGAAGGCGCTCCAGAACAAGAAGAGCTGGTGCCCGCGCAACCGCAAGTGGCAGACCTGCAGCAACGAGTGAGAGAACTGGAGGCTTTGGTGGCCAGTCAATCGCCCGGAATGCAGACGGCTGCAACATCGTCCACTCCAACCAAACAGGGGAGCGCTCTTCGAGGCAAGTCCGGGTTTGCAAGGAGATCCAGCTCAGACGATGGCTACCTTGCGCCAAATGGCCGGCGCAGCTCCTTTGAGGTTGGGAGGTCATGAATGCTCCTTGAGGGAGGGACGTCCTACGCAGTTCCTCGAGACACTTCAGCAAGAAGGGGGCTTCAAGAAGTGGAACAACCTCTGACCAACCCTCTTCAACGGCTTTTGGCTCTCCAGATGCGGCAGATGCAATTTCTCACAAAGCAACAGGCAGAGAATAAAGTCGATCCTCTCCACGCTGCCCCAAGTGGGGGCGGGTGAGGCATCAAGGGCTGCCTCGCCCGCGATGCCTGTGTCAGGCTATCAGCCGATGTGGCAAAGGTGGGAGCTGTAGTGCAAAGTCACGCCGCGGTCGAGCTGGGCCTAGATTCACATCAAGTGGGATTAGGCATGATGCGCGAGTACCTGGAAAAACGCTGTGTTTTGGGAGATCAACGCTGGCTCACCCAGATCGGGTACATCTTCGCAGCTGCCTGGGAACACGGGTTCAGAACGAACAATCAAGATCTTCTAGGCCACACGGCCCGAGGCATGATGTTCATGCCACGGACTACGGGAAGACCGCCTTAATGTGGCTTCTCATAGGCCTGAACCACAATACTCCATCACTCAACGCAACAGGAATCGGAACTCGCTGAGCCCATTTTCCAGATTGGCTCAAGCGTCTTGGATTGCAGCCAACGTCTCCTACATGAAGGATCTCGACTACTTGGAGGGTCGCATCAGAAGTGCAAACACCTATGTCAATGCCATCAACCAGACTGCCAAAGCCGAGAACGGGGATACTACACAAAGTTGCAGTCTGATGTTGTTGCTACAAATCGTGAGCTAGGCATTGAGCACAGTGAGGAATTTGGTGAGGAATCTCAACATTCAACATGTGTTTCCTTGTTTTAAGGGTGATCAAATTTTTGTCCTGGATGATCGCACCATTGCCTTTGACTGCATTGAGTTGTTGGCTGGGAACTGGAGCAAATGCCATGCTCTTGCGGGCCTCAAGGTGCACCCTGGGATTGAGCGGGAAGCCAAAGGAGCTTCGTTTGGTGACCTCGCTGATGATGATACTTTTCGAGCTTTAGCAAAACTTGCTTATCATGGAAACATTCGAGACTGGCATGCTGGACCTCCCTGTTGGTCATTTGGCACGCTGAGGCAACCTTGGCTTAGGTCAAAGAACCTGCAGGCTATGACATCCGAGACCCCACAACCAGAGAACAGACACTGCTGGCAGCTAGGACGGCTTTTTTTGTTGACCTTATCTTGCTTGAGCGGGCGTTTTGTGTCTGTGGAGCAACCGGGAAGCTCAGTGAAGTTTTGCTGGCAGCGTTTCAACTAACGTTGGCTTTGGGATGCAGGATCAGAAAGATGTGTTTTTGCACGTACGGTTCCGGCTTTTTGAAGCCCAGCAAATGGCTGTACAGGGGAGCTTCACTAAGGCCACAGCAAAGTTTTTTGACTCATGTTGTAGACCAGATGCGTTTTCTGTTTATGGAAAGTATCCTCGACCTGGCGAAGCAGTCTTTTTCGGCAGTTTACCCTTTGCCTTTGTGCCAGGTCATAGCAGCAGGATGCATTGCAGCTCTCAGTGCGGGCACTAAACCTTTGACCGTGAGCGGGAGCTCATGTCAAGCTGCGAGTGCTGCAGAGGTCAGCGTCAATGAGCCAAAACTTTTGCGGGAGTGGTTTGAAGATCTTCAAGAAAGCTGGTCATATCAACTGTCTTGAATGTCGTGTTTGCAAAAGTTGGTTGAAGCATTGTCGCAAGAAATGTCCTAGATGCAAGTTGGTTGGGTTGCTTGACAGTCGAGTCGCGATGGGCGCAGCTGCAAAAGGAAGGAGCTCTTCTCGTGCCCCGGAACTCTTCACTGCCGCTCAGCCTGGAACAGAGCAGACGGGCCCTCACGGGACAAGGATGTGCCTGGCACCACTCAAGAGAAGCCATTCTGGTTGCAGGCGCTTGAGATTGGTGATGTGCAACCCTTTGACGAAATGATAGAACTTGCAAAGTGGTCACGGCCTATTGGCCGTTGGATTCGCGTTCTGCTTGTGGTAGCAGGTGACGTTGAAAGGAACCCCGGCCCTTGAGCTGGCCAGAGAGAGAGAGTGCACTGCTCGTGGTGAACTTAACACGCTTGGCGTTTTTGCAACGGCGACCTCCACGAGGATGCAAAAGTGCCTGGAGGGCTTTAGTTTTTGGTGCGAGCGTGAAGCAGGACTGTGCTTTGAAGCTGTGTGTTCCAGCGCTGCGAGCGCGAACCTGGCTCTTATAGTCTTGCCTTGTTCCGTGAAGGAAAGCACCGATACATGTTGGTGTACGCCGTTATGGCCATGCAACAAGTCACAGTCTTTCGGGAATATCGAAAGCAGCTGTTAGGTGCCTGGCAGGTGGACTTCTGTTTTGAGCAGTGGCACTGGTTCAAAGCAGTTCTAACATGTGACAATGGTTCAGCTTCGCAGGTGTCGTGGCATTGGGGTTCGGAGGAATGTTGCACCCCAGTGAATTTTTAGCTTTAATTCGTTGCGATCTAGTTTTTCCTGAGGATGCAATGTTGCAGCAGCATTGGAACCCCAAGACGGCACGCTTTGCTAGGAGACAGCGTGCTCGCAAGATGATGGGAGTTTGATCTTCTTGATTCGTTGTTTGTTCGCTTCCCTTCCCTTGGATGCAAAGCTGTTCCCTGCGTCCATGGAAGTGTTTCGCCGCCAATCACCTTGGCATTCCGAGACGCCAATCTGACCAAGGAGCAACTCCAGGCGTTTTGAGAGGAAGCGGCGCAACGCACGAGTACCTCAAGACTTCAAACATAGCACAGTTTCAATGGAAAGGGCGCTGGAGCAGACTCCGCGCGCTTGAATACTTTTTTCAAGAAGTAGCAGCGCAGTTGTTCTTGTTTGTTTGGCGCTGCAAGAGTGCTTTCCTCACCAGTTCAAGCAATTTTTGTTTGCAACGCGGTACAGTGCATTTGGACGGATTTCGATCTCTCTTGTTTTCGGTGGAGGTAGTTCCCTGATAAAGTCAGGGGAGGGCACCTATGCAGTGGCGGAAAAGAGTGTGATGTTCACTATCACATGCAACAGCCATTGCAGACAAGAATCTTGTCCATCCGGGCCTCCCAGAGTTGCTACATCCTTCAGTTGCTATGTGCTTGATCGATTGATCGGCGTTCTTGGCAGTACAGTGCAGTTGGACGGATTTCGAACTCTCTTGCCTTCGGTTAGCTGCAGCTAGTTCCCTGACAAAGTCAGGGCAGGGCACCTATGCAGTGGCAGAAAAGAGTGTGATATATACATATATAGATACATACACACACGTCTATACTGTATATTCTATATATGTTTGTCCTATCATCCTTGCTCCCATGGAGTTGGGAAATACTGCGCCAGGATGTGCACTTGCACAAGTGCTTCGGCTCGGGTCTGACGTTGGTCACTCGGCGCAGATGAGGATCAGAGTACTGCCAAGGCAATCGTGGCGGGTTGCAGCACAGCAGGGGCAGGTCAAAACATTGAAAACTGAAGAAGGAGATCAAAAAAGAACATTGTCAAGTTGTGTGTAGCTGCGGGTTCAAGATGATTTGAAATGATTTGAAGGCTGTGGCTGCTCCGAGTCAACATCCATCCACAGTTGAAATTTCCAGTACATCTTCCTGTTGAAAGAAGAACCGCCTGTGTTGAAAGAGGGGTTCCATGTCCGAGTTTCGCCATGTTCCAATGAGCACCAAAGAGAACCCTGCCGCTGCGAACAGATGCCCGAACCCTACATCCCTACGTTCGGGAGCTGAAACACAGTGTGTACGGTGCACGTTGACACCAAAACTCTTTGGAGAGGGGACGGATTCCGCAGCCAGCGGATTTCGCGTCCCGGCCACGCTGCCAACGGGGCGCTCCTGCTCCAGGGAAGGTGTTCAATTTGGGAGTCAATGACGGTAAAACAGAAGCGTCTTCAAGGGGATCGGAACGTGATCTTCCTTTGCTGCACTACAAAGTTATTGCAAGGGAACGTGGACTTGAACTCTCCACTTCGCTGTCACCGGGTGATCAACCGATCTGGCCAACCATCAGGTGCAAACAATCGACGACGAGTCCTTCACGGACGATGGAAAACCCTTACCATAAGTGGTTGAGGGCTGCTCGACTTCATCGGCCGGAGCGCTTGCGTCGAAATTTTCCTGGAGAGGTATGTTCTCCTCCAACCCAAGAGGGATGGCCTTTGACCTAAGAGCGATGGCCTCCAACCTAAGAGCGATGGCCTCCACCCTAGTAGCGATGGCAGACCCTAGCAGCGAGTGCCTCCAACGTAAGAACGATGGCCTCCAACCTAAGAGCGATGGCCTTTAACCTAATAGCGATGGTCTCCACCCTAGTAGCGATGGCCTCCACCGTAGTAGCGATGGCCTCCACCCTAGTAGGGATGGCTTCCTAAGAGAGATGGCCTCCAACCTAAGAGCGATGGCCTCCTCCAACCTAAGAGCGATTGTCTCCAACCTAAGAGCGATGGCCTTTAACCTAAGAGCGATGGCCTCCACCCTAGTAGCGATGGCCTCCACCCTAGTAGCGGCCTCCAGCCTAGTAGCGACAGCTTCCAACCTAAGAGCGATGGTCTCCAACCTAATATAGCGATGGCCTCCAACCTGATATAGCTATGGCCTCCGCCCTAGTAGCGATGGCCTCCGCCCTAGTAGCGATGGCCTCCAACCTAGTAGCCATGGCCTCCACCCTAGTAGCGATGGCCTCCACCCTAAGA